TTGACATTTGTGCTATAACAGCTAAATTAGCAAACGTTTATTTCTTATAATGACGCAGTGGCTGATGTAAACATAGCCTAGGCTACGCTACGATTTAAAAGTAAAGGAGCATCTTCCTCCATCGTTTCCATTTTTTTTTTCAATAATTGATTTAGCCCACGGTAATACTCATTTCAGTGACATATTTGTAAGAATCTTAATATAATAGGCGTAATGATCATTCAGTGGATAATATGAAATATGAAATATGAAACGTGTCGTCACTCGCTTTCGATTTCACTTTCTCAGGAATTCCGCGCGGAATTTCTTTCCCACGTTCCTCTGTAAGAGTCAAGGTTCACACGCTCACCTGCCCTTTCTTCTTCTTGAAACCATTAGCCTAAACCTAAATAAACGAATAAACAAGCAAAACAAATATATAATAGCCAACCCTACAAATGACTAAAATGAACGAATGAACAAAATACACATTATAGTAAACATTTGTAATTCAAATATTTTAATTGCAAGATTAGGCTACATGATTGCGATGAAAAAACAAACATTTTCTGCATAAAAAATACTGCCATGTTTTATTTATTTGTATAGGCCTATATGTTACGTTAGCTAAGGCAACGTTAATAATTGAATGAATGAACGTTTTTCATTTTATTTTTCACTAATTAGCAATAGTCCGTGTTTATTCTACTGTAATGTATTTGTGTTTATTATTTTTGTAGGCTACATATAGATGACTGTATAAGAATTCCGGTTCAGTGAGACACTCCGCATTCTCACTGACACAAAAGCTGTTGCGTAACTGTGGTTTACCTGTCGCCCAGGTGTGCGCCGTTTACATCTGGAAAGTGAAAAGTCGTGTGTAATTCCCGAAACGCGCGCATATAAACGGCGGAGAGAATGGATGAGAGACGAGATCTTCCAACAGCAGCAGCTCATCAGTGGATCAACCTGTGGCATCAGTCTTCTGGAGAACACGACACGATGGACCTTCGTTTGGTGCAGCTCTGCCTTCTTCTGTCAGCCTGCAGTTTCAGCTCTGTGCTCAGCTGCAGATGGATACAACACAAGTTCCAGCACCACCATGGAGTCTCTTTGGATCTGATCAGAAAGATATTATTATTAATTGAGAGAGGTAGAATATTTGTACTTAGAAGATTACAGTTTTAATTGTAATATTTTAACTCATTAATTGAGAGACTACAAATAGAATATTGGTACTTAAAAAAATTAATTTAATATTTCAAGATGAATATTTACTGGATTGAAGCAACTTCATTATTACTTGCATCGTATTCATTTAGAAAAATGACTTTAGAATGTATTAAATATGATCCATCAGGCTTTTGAGGAACATTAATGTTGCAATTGCATTGCATTTTGAAACTACAGAGCATCGATCATGAAGCTAAGCATTGAATATCATCTTAGTAAGAAATATCATGGGAGCTATAGAGTGATATAACCGATACACTCGCCCTTTAAAATTCATATAATATACAGTAAATATGCATTTAACCTAAAAATGGAAACTAAGCAAATGCAGTTGTAATAGCTAATCGGAATACTTTTAAACTTTCATCAAAATGTTTCACCTGAATCTGTTCATTCTGCTCAAAATAATCTCTTCATTAATATTTCGTAGGGTGAGAAAATCCATAATGGCCACGAGGACATGAACCCAATCCCATATGAACTGATCAATAACCACAGAAGAGCAGAGGTTAGTAAAAATGATGATTATTATTATTTAAAAAAAGACACCATAATATGTGCTGTTGATTATGAATCTATATTCATATATCTATCTATATCTTTTGTTTCTTCTTCTCAGCCTGAGAAACAGATCCTGTTCGTCATTCAGGCTCTGATGGAGATCACGGTCCTCTTTGACGATGCCGTCGTCCCCTGGGATGCTAAAAAACTGGCAGATTTCTTAAATGTCATGCACGAGGAGATTGATGGACTGCGCTCATGTGTGAGTACAGTGTGTGTGTGTGTGTGTGTGTGTATACATATATTTAATACCAGCAACATCAAGCCAGAGGAACTGATTGATTTCTTTCTCAATGCAGGGGGCTTACAAAATGAAGAGGAACAAAAAGCTGCATCTGTATTTTGAAAGACTGAGACACATGACAGAAATGAAGACGGTGAGATTTGAATATATAGCTTAATCCTCAGCTGTAAATGTGGAAGCTCATCTGAAGATGGACTAACTGTTGTTTGACTCTTTCAGGAGGATAGAGATCACAGCTGGGAGATCGTCAGAAAACGGGTCATAAGTTTCATGAACCAGCTGGAGTTCTTCTCCTTCCACACTCATGTTTAATAACTGGACCTCTTGAAGCTTCACTCCATTTACAGAAGGAAAAGAAAAAGAATCAGTGTTGTTAATCAGTGTTTACACTCCTTTTTTATAATGTTATTTTATACAGCTGTATGCAGTGTTTATTTATTGTTGTTTTGATTCCTTATGTTTTTTTTAGATGTTATTTATATTAAAGATACTAAATTTTAATAAATTATTTATTTGTGTAATTTAATATATTTTATACATTATGATTTTGCATACTAATATCTACAGATTATATCCTTATTTATTAATTTATTTATGAATGTCTTCTTTTTTAGCTGTTACATAAAATGCAAGAATGAATCTATTAAAAAATACTTTTTGTATTTCTGTCATCAAATAAAGAACTTTGAATGTTTTAATACATTTTGTGAATTTATTTCTGAAATATAGAAAAGGGTATAAAATCATTAAAAAATATATTTTCTTGTTTGCTGTACACTATTTGTGACCCTGGACCACAAAACCAGTCATAAGGGTCCATTTTTTGAAATCGAGATGAATACATCATCTGAAACCTGAATAAATAAGCTTTCTATTGATGTATGGTTTGTTAGGATAGGACAATATTTTGCTGAGATACAACTATTTGAAAATCTGGAATCTGAGGGAGCAAAAAAATCTAAATATTGAGAAAATCGCCTTTAAAGTTGTCCAGATGAAGTTCTTAGCAATGCATATTATAAATTAATAAGCATAATATGTGTTGATATATTTACAACCCCAGCGACTTAAGACTGCTTTTGTGCTCCAGGGTCACATATGACTGTTCAAATTTGTACAGATTTTAAAGAAATAGTTTTAAAATTTTAAATGTACTCACCCTCAGTCCATCCAAGATGTAGACGAGTTCATTCCTTGATTGGAACAGGTTTGGAGAAATTCAGCATTCCGTCAGGATCCTCTGCAGTGAATGGGTGCCGTCAGAATGAGAGTCCAAACAGCTGATAAAAACATCACAATAATCCACAAGTAATCCACACCACTCCAGTCCAGCAATTAAGATCTTATAAAGTGAAAACAAGAAGAAACAAATCTATCATTAAGGTGTATAATTATGTATAGAGGACTTATATTTGAGCTGGAAGCAACAGTCTGAAGTCATAAACATCTTAATGATTTTTTTTTCTTACAAACACGCAGCTTTTCACCTCACAAGATGTTAACTGATGGACTAGAGTCATGTAGATTGATTGTAGATTATTGTGATGTTTTTATCAGCTGTTTGGACTCTTATTCTGACGGCACCCATTCACTGCAGAGGATCCATTGGTGAGCAAGTGATGGAATGCTACATTTCTCCAAATCTGTTCCAAAGTAGAAGCAAACTTACATCTTGGATGGCCTGAGGGTAAACTACACGACAAAATTCTGTCAATTCAAATCTGCTGTTGGCAACTAGCATTGCCTCGTCTGTAAATCAGGGCAAACACCTGGGCAAAGTCAAGTAGCCTATTCCAAACATAAAAATGTTTTAGTTTGTCTGAATGGCCATAAGATGGCGCACTTTCCCTCCATAAAGCTCTTACAGTAGCTTATTATTAGAAGACTGAACAGCCTGTATCTTTCTGACAGCCTTTCTGTATTTCTCTCCTTTAATATTTGTATTATCCTGTCTATCAATTCAAGTATATACTTAATGCATGCATGTAGTCCAAATGTGGTTTGAGACCACTCGGAAAATCTGGGCGTTTTTAACCTGTTTAAACAAAACAAAGTTTTATAACTTTTTACAGTATAGAAAATTTGAAAACATTATGACTAAAAAAATACAAATACATTTTAGGATTCTGTGTTTTACTAATCAAATAGCAAATTTGTTAAATCCTTGTACAGATGGTCAGATGTTCTTTGCAGATGCTCTTTCAAAGACTTGTGGCATACAATCAGAACGAATGCAAAGAAAATATACCAAACATTTACCAAAAAAAGCTGCTTTGTGGAAAACACCTGCTATTCACATGCTTATTTGAACAGATATGAAATGAAAGTTCCCTTGAGCTTTAAACAGTTCCTTACCACTAGTATTTTTATAACCAAATGTGACCCTGGAGCACAAAAGCAGTCTTAAGTCGCTGGGGTATATTTGTAGCAATAGCCAAAAATACATTGTATGGGTCAAAATTATTGATTTTTCTTTTATGCCAAAAATCATTAGGATATTAAGTAAAGATCATGTTCCATGAAAATATTGTGTAAATTTCCTACTGTAAATATATCAAAACTTCTGTTTTGATTAGTAATATGCATTGCTAAGGACTTTATTTGGACAACTTGATTATTATTTAGATTTTTTTGCACCCTCAGATTCCAGGTTTTCAAATAGTTGTATCTCGGCCAAATATTGTCCTATCCTAACAAACCATACATCAATGGATGTATACATCTCAAATTCAAAAAATTAACACTTAAGACTGGTTTTGTGGTCCGGGGTCACAAATAGAGAGCACCTTGTTATGAATGACTAGCAGAGTGACTAACAAACACACTCTAAAAACACTACCACATAATACACAGTACAGTAAAATGAATATAAACTCTAATAAAAAAGTGACAACAAACAAGCAAACAACAATAAAAACATAAGTTAAATGTATTACAATGTCTATAGATGTCACATCCTCAACAAAAACTTCAAGCCTATAAATGTCATAATAATTTCGTGCTTTCCAAATAAAAAAATTTGCTTTATAAGCAATTACTGTATTCACACACAGTGACGTCAGTCTGCCTACATGTGACTTTTCCAGCACAAACTGACAGTGGATTGGATGTAACTGCAAACATTTGTGTCTGGTGTTGATATGCAGATCAATAATCTGATGGATGTGTTTTTCTCACTCTTGGTCTGGGGACTCGACTTCCCACGCTGCATCTGTGTCCCGGGCTAAAGCAGTGATGTCCTCATACAGATCCGCACCGCCACACTGCTCAATCGCCAACCCCTGGACAGCACAGACACAGAGAGCACACAGATGTTTAGCAAAGTGGTAGAAGTCTTGAGAAGCAGTGAGTATTTATTTATTAATTATTACATTTAATTTATTATTATAAGAAATATAAACAAGTCTTCCATCAGGGAAAAGGTCAATAGTTCATTAGTGTTAGTAAATAATTTCAAATGAAGCTGAAGCAGAATCAGTCACTGGGTAATAACACACAGTAGTGTTAAATTGCTAAATGAATCAGTGTTTTTTTTAACGAATCGAAGCAGTTTATTTAACAATTCTATAACTCCGTTGTCAAACAATGTAACGTGCAAAAAGAGTCCCTGAAAACACTAATGTACAAAATTATGTTTTTTCAGTAAAATATCTATAAACATTCGTAAGATACATTTACTTAAGAGGAAAAATGACATTAGATAGCCTTGTTTTCTAAAATATCTATTGAAATTAAGTGACTTTACACTTAAAACAATAAATATCTGCCAGTTGAGTGAAAATGAAAAATCCTTGTTAAATTAAATGTATTCCTCTCATCTCATTGATAGATTTTTTTTTTTTTTTTACTTCATTTTAGGTATAAACTCACTTAATTTTGCTAATTTTGGACACCTACCAAAATTAGTGACTTTATGCATAAACAACAACAACTGCCAATGTGGTAAGAAAAATAAAACTTGTTTTCCCTTTAAATTACGTTTTTTATTTCTTTTAATTAGATTTTTTTTTTTACCCCACTGATTTTTGTATTTTTTATTTTGTATAAGGGTCAAAGACGAAAAAGGGTTTAAGCATAAAAAGTGTAATACTGCTTTAAACTGTTGTTGTTTTTCCCCAAAAAATGTAAAAAGTTTTCTGTTTAATTTAATTGCAATTTTGTTGTTGTTTTTCCGAGCAAAAAATAAATACCATACATTTTTCCCTGATTTACAGAAGACACCCAAACTTGTCAGGCATATTTACAACAAAAAACTATTTATGAAATATTAAAAGACTAATTACTTTCACCCCAAATACTAATTAGTTGTACTTTTACATTTTTAAAATTTGCCACTATCCTAGGTTTTGCCCGTTGGTCAGTAAGAATTTTTTACTCATTTAAAACACAATAAAATTTAATACGCTCCCTTATTCTTTTATATATTTTAATATGTACAAGTCAGAATAAGCATGTTGTTTGAATTTTTACATACATATTGTATTACACTGAATGACAATGTAACATTATTTAATATTTTGACATTTTATTCTCCCAAAACTTATTTGAAACCTTAAAAGTAGACACTTTACTTATATTTAATGTGCTTTCTATGGACATAAAATCACTTTTGTAAATTTATTTTGAAGCGGACATCTTAACGTCTTTGACCCATAAACTAACTTAATTTTGATAATTTTACTAATTTATCAGATTTAACAGCAACAAATATCTGCTAATGGGGTAAGACAAATAAAACTTGTTTTCCCTTTGTATTAAGTTTCTTTTTTTTTGGCAGATATTTTTTCTTCATTTTAAGTTAAAACTCACGTATTTTTAAAAATGTATTTCCGAAAACAAGACTTAATAACTTAAGTAGCTTGCTTCTCAAGTAAAGTCAACCCTGAAACAACATACAGAACTACCACATTTTGCTATAAGTTTGATTGCATCATATAATAATTGCTGTTAATAGTGTTCATCGTCTGTTTTATTACGTCTTAAATTGATTTTTCCGTACTGCTGGTTCGTCTGGTCAGAGGAGAACTGGCTCCCCGACTGAGCCTGGTTTCTCCCAAGGTTTTTTCTCCATTCTGTCACCGATGGAGTTTTGGTTCCTTGCCGCTGTCGCCTCTGGCTTGCTTAGTTGGGGACACTTCATTTCCAGCGATACCGTTGACTTGATTGCAAAGATACTATTTAAACTGAGCTGGATGTTGACATCACTGAATTCAATGATGAACTGTCTTTAACTGAAAAATTTGTGTTTACTATTGTCATTTTGCATTATTGACACTATTTTCCTAATTAATGCTGTTCAGTTGCTTTGACACAATCTGTATTGTTAAAAGCGCTATATAAATAAAGGTGACTTGACTTGACTTAAATGTGTCTTGATTTAAGGTTTAAGAAGGTTTCGATATTTGTACAGGAAAACAAGTCAAAAATACTGAGAAAGAAAATCATTTTTGTGTTGTCTGGCAGAGACAAACAGGGTGATACAAACAGTGAAACGTCCCAGTACACTCTCTGAAAAAAAGGTACAAAAGCTGTCACTGGGGCGGTACCTTTTCAAATGGTACATCTTTGTACCTACATGGTCCCTTTTGGGCTCTTGAAGGTACATGTCAGTCCCTAAATTGTACATTTTATTACCTAAAAGTACAAAAGTGTACTTTTTGAAAAAGGTTCCACCCCAGTGACATCTTTTGTACCTTTTTTTCCTGAGAGTGCACCGATAGACTGTTACATCGATACTCTTGGAACGCTGCTCGGCCAATCAAATTCGACTAGAATTTGGAGAGGTTAGTAATCCTCCAGTTTTTTTTTTTTATTTTTACAAAATCACAAGAATAAATTCATGCATTGTGTATCACAACAGACCATGCGTGTTTTCACTTCCGGAAGTGCATGCAACAGAGCTAAAAACTCAACCAACCGTAAACCAACACAATGACAGTAACAAACTGAGCAAATTAACCAAAACACACCTCATATATGTGATCATCCTCAGGCTCTTCATAAACTGCATCTTCTTTCTTCTCCTGAAACACAGTGAGAAACCGCTGTTAGATGGCGATAAAAATTGTAATGATAAGGTGCTGTATGTAACTGTACTAAAGCATAAAAATACCATAATATGTTTGCAGATATTTAAGAAAAATGTTAAGTTAACATACTTGTTTATCTGAAAAACAATGCGACAGTCAGTTATTCTTCTTTGAAAATGTACATTCCGGGCCGGAAAGTTTGTCTTTGTTTTGGTTTGTGAAACCCGCCCACTGCCAGTTTACCCAATTGTATTTCGGCACCCCGGGTTGCCAGTTGGCGCATTTCATTCATGGTTAAGTGCGCTCGTTCCCGTTGGTGTCTCAATCTGGCAACCTGCGTGTGCGTCAAGTCTGAGGAGGAGGGGCTGGGTGAAAAAAACCCGCTCCAATATTTTGAATTTGGACTGCAATATCTAATTCAACCACTCGGTGTCAATCCTACATACAGCACCTTAAAAGGGTTAGTTCACCCAAAAATGAAAATTAGGCTGCGTTTTACTCACCCCCGAGGCATCCTAGGTGTATATGACTTTCTTCTTTCAGACAAATCCAGTCGGAGTTATATAAAAAATTGTATTTGATCTTTCAAGCTGTTTAATGCCACTCAGCGGGTGTTGCATTGCTTCAGTCCGAAAGAACTTAAATAAAAATCGCCCATCCATAAAAAAAGTGTCTCACACGGCTCCGAAGAAAGTCATATACACCTAGGATGCCTCGGGGGTGAGTAAAACAGCCTAATTTTCATTTTTGGGTGAACTAACCCTTTAAGTGCACAAATCAATCTGTGGAAATGCTGTGGCCCTTACCAGTCTGTAAAACTGAACCAGAGGAACGACGATGCACAAAATCAACAGTAAAGCCTGAAGGAAAATGAAAACATCCTTGACTCTCGATCTCATCAATATAGTCTGGGGTTCAGTGTATCCTGGACAAGAAACAGCGAGAGGAATACATGTATACAGGGCAGGCTAGTGAAGAAAGCAAGTGAAAAACATTGACAAATTGACACCTACTGGACACTTGTAGCTCAGTTCCCGGTCCAAGCGTGCTGCTCAGCTTGCAAAAATAAGTGCCGCTGTCCTTGGTCTCCACTTTCTTTATGGCAATGGAGGCATTTATTTTATCACTCTTCTCCATTATCGATATTCTTTGGCTGTTCTTGAGCTGGTCTTTGTAAGCCTGGTCTTTGAACCACTCTACATGAGCAGACAAAGACGGATTCGACGGCACACAGTATATAATCACAGTCCGACCCGTCTTAACGCCAACAAATCTTGGCTTCTGGAACACGTGGATATTTTCTTCAGCTGAAAAGATGAGATGGATGGAGAGAAAACATGCGAGACAGAACCGGTTTAATATCACAGGTATTAAGGTCATTTTCACGTTACCAGCAGAAGTAAAACCAAGAAACATGCTTTCATTATGAAAGACACTAAACCGCAAGGATTATAAAACTGCATGAACTTCATGAACTGTTTATTGTTAAAAAAGGATATCTGGCAAATGCAAACTTGTTTTGAAGCGATGAGACTTCCTCTTTCACTCACAGATGGAAAGGAAGAACAACACTGAAAACAAGCCTAAGGCAACTGTAATATGCAAACTGTTATCCTGCAACCTTCAAACGTGCAACAAAAATCATATGAATCAATCGTAAACTACTGCTATCCTAACAAATTCCACGCAGAAGCTAAAAAGTGCACCAAATGTTGCATTTCAGTACAGTAACTTATGTAAAAGTCAAACACAACAGCAGTTTTTAAGGTCTTAAGTGGTCATATTTACCTGAGAGGTAAATCAGCGCCATGACTGAAGATCCCAGCAGGAAGTAATGCATGATTCTTGATCCTGAAATGCTCCTCTCCAAGAAAGTGTAGAAGTCAGCGCAGATCACATAGACAGAACAGAAGGAAGTCAGCTCCACCAGAGTGAAGGGTGCAGGTCATGAAGCTGCGATGATACGAATCCGTTTCAGAGAAACATGCAAATCGATACACTCATGCATCAAAAGGTGAAGGAACGAAGTGAATCATCTTAATGCTAAATATAAAGACTGATATAGGCTACTTCACCATGTATGTACAATCGTGATTAATGTCAACCGTTTATGCATCACAAAACCAGATTAATATCAATGGCTGAAAATTACCAGTATGTTTTCTGTTAAGTTTATAGGCATTTCCTTTAACCCTAAAACAGAATGCAATGCAATGTGTAATTAAAAATACATTGGAAACCCCTGTGAAGAATCAACATGAAAAATTTCTAAATATTAACATGGTCAGCCTACATTAGTCTGTATTATTACAGACTTTCTTAGATTGTATCATACGCTCACAAAAAAAAAGAAATTAGCCATTGCAAATGTTATACGCCCACAAAGAGTTAAATGCAAAAGTCCTGTTACATATATTGCCTTATGCAATAAACAATTACTTAAGAAGATTCAGCTGTGCAAATAATAGCTGCTATACTGAAAAATTATGACATTTTACTGACTATAAGTAACTTTGCAAGTAAACTCTTAAAAATAAAGGTTCCAAAATGGGTTTTGCAGCAATGCCACAGAAGTGAAAAAAACGAAAGGTTCCATGGATATTAAATGTTCCTTATGGAACCGCTAATGCCAAAGAAGAACCTTTATTTTTAATAATATGTACATGTCAACTTCCAGTCAGTTGTTTTGAGTGGCCCTCCAGGAGCAATGCTATGTGCACATTGATCTGGATAAATTTAATAACATTTTTAAATGTTTTCTAAAAGTTGCTCATCTACACTGAAAATGCTCACCTTGCTGTGCATGCGCGAAATAGCCTGAATGCTCACTGAGATGATCAGAGATAATAAAGCTCTCACGCTCTCTTTTGACACATTTTATTAACAAATATCCCATCACCCCAACACACCGGTGTGTGTTCAGGTCGCACTTAAAATCTTCACCTTTTGCCACAGGACAGCAAAGGTTGTACAACATTTATTTTTAGCAACATTATTAAAGTGAATAGCAGGCACAACAATGTTGGTACAACCATAGATATGCATTGAAACAATGTGCATCACATGACTAAACATGAATAATGGTTTATACACTTAGGAGAACAGCTTCAAAAAGCTCAATTTTTGCTGGACAAAATGCTGTCTCAGTGTAGATGAAAGTCCAAAACAGAGAACTTTTTTTTTTTCAAATTTATCCAGATTAATGTGGACGTAGCCCAAGACTGGACACCCTTGGTTTATTATATTATATTTTATTTATTACTTACTTACAGTTGCCTGTGTTTTATTGTTTGCCGTTTCTGATGGTTGCCAGGCAGAATTTTGTTGTGTCGCACAATAACAATAAAGTGTCTTTAATTTCAGTGCACAAGTTGGTGCTTTCCATGCGGTGCAGTTTATCACAGTCATTGAGCTGTGTGAAGAGTGTAGCACTCAGCAGCTGTAACCACACTCACTCACGCTCAACTATCAGTTAAAGTCAGAACAGGCAAGGAAGGCAGTACCCCACCCCCCAAAAAACAAATAAAACTAAACAAGTATTATGAAATATGTGGTTAAATGAGACCACATATCAATACCTTAAATAGCCTTAAATGCTCACTCCTCAAAAAGGTTAAAAATAAAGCAGTAAAAGTCACACATCATTATCTGCGACCATCATGACATTTACATTGTTTATGAACCAAAAATAAGGCGGTAATCATTTTAACATAGAAACCAGTAGTTCTGTACACTGTAAAAAATATTTTTGAAGCTGTAAATAAAACAAATATTCCTGGAGTATATTTGAAAAGAAAATACTATTTCATTTTTTTTATACTTCAAAATTTCAAGTTTAATTCAATGTTACTTGCTTGCTATTTCTTTGAATTTTTTTGTAAAATGTACTAGCAATTTTTAGTGTAGCAACAAATAAGTCAAATAAGAACTCAGTGGCCTAAAGAGATGGCCAGTTGACAGTCTGCTAACCACACACACACACACACACACAAAACACTTTACTGCCCCAGTTTCTGATTGACTCAAAAGCTGTGGGAACAACGACTATCACCTAAATAATATCTAGAAACAGTAATGTTTGTGAAAAAGTTGTTTGTCCAGTAAAAGATTTTGTGCTAGTAAACATGGTCAACAATATTATTCTTTTTCCCATCAGTGAATGTGCTTGTGAAAGCTAAATTATCCCCATAACACAAATGCCAATGTATAGATCACTGGATTCCAAACTTATTAAGACTGGTTACCTGAGGTGAAGACATCTCTAGCTGGGGGTAAAAATAGAAGGTGTGAAACAAGAACAGCTATCCGAGCAGGGGCCACTGTGACACACAGAAAGTCATATGGAGCACAAGTCGAATGGAAAAAAATGGTCTTGATAAACACCTCTGGGAAAACATATACACAAACAACACATGATAGCATGCTAAGACTGTAAACTCAACTAAACCCCACCATGAGATGAAGTGTAATACTGAAGAACTGCAATTCAAACCTTTAAAGCATGAAGAGAAGCACATTTATCTTATCAAATTTATTTTAAATGTACATTGAATTAAATGTTGTCAAGTGATGATACAACGAAAAGACCACATCTGAGAAATGCGCTTCTATCTGCAAAGTATATATATATACAGGCAATGAGGCTAGCAAATCCTAAAGCACTGCAATGTCTCTCTCCTTGATAAAAATGTAAACAATAGAAAATTATTTGCATATTAACAATATCAATATGAAACCAAAAGTGCACAAAACTGCCCACAGATTACATACAAACTGATGAGTTTTTTTTTTTCTCAAAACAAAGTCATTCTCATTTGAACATATAGTAAACTAATGCGTTTTGGTAATAAGAGACCAAATCTAAAAACTATACAAGAGGTAAATATAAATATCTCAAAGTGCTTCATTTATGAGTTTTAAGAAATAAGACATTTGCAGTCACATTAAGACTTCAGAGGAAATCCATCATTAAATGTCTCTAATACATACAACTTCTAGCTATGATGACTCACAGGTACTAAAACACTGAACATACTTTGGGGATTATTAACTTGATAATGTTTTAAAATGGCCAATTTTCAATTTTCAATTTTCAATTTAATGAAAGGAATTCAAAGGAAGGTGTAAACATCACAACCATATCTCAGGTAATAAATATGAATTTCAGCTAGATATGAATTAGGTAAGAATCGTGGCATCTACTGGACACTTCAGGCTCTTTTTGTAAAGAAGGGAATCAGTTATAAAGCAGTTACAGGGTAATGCCCTTGCCTGGACAAAGAAAAATAATCTGACGCAACTTTGCAACAGTTATCAGGGGTACTCTAAATTTCACAAATTATTCATCAATTTATTATAATGGATACTATGATGCTCAATTCACATCTGGATATTAGTGCTGTGCTGTCTCTGTGTTAAATACAGTTAAATGGATGGGGTTATTCTAACTAGGTTTACTTAACTTCTGAAATAACTTCTGAATAAGAACATGAAAACTGCATTTACTTTACAGGCTTGGTAGATTTTCAGCAATCTCAAGTGACAATCTAGCTGTTTTGACTACCAGGGCATTAAAAGGAATTGCTACAATTACACAATGCTTTTAATGCTTCAAGTTATATTAATTACAAAATATTAAAAAAAAATGTTTAGTACAGTCACTGGGGACTACAGCTGCACTGTATATGTTTTTCATAGTGGCACATTCCGCTCAAAGTGACTCTGTACACCCCACTGTAAAGGATCAGTTTCTGTTCTACTCGTTCCACCAATCTGTTGTAAACTGGTAAACCATGGACTGAGATTATAAATAGTTCAGTAGACTAAACAGACTCTGGACAGACATGTTTGAGTGATGGTCAGTACCAGCGGTTCTCGTTCCTAATAGTTCTGAGATCTGTGCAGCTAAACATCAGAATTATACTGTAAGTAACATATCAGGTTTTGTAATTCAGTGTTTAAGAAATACTGTTGTGAATTCTTTGATCATTATTGAATTATTAAGTGTCCGGGAGCTATAAATACTGATACATCTTGCAACAAGTATTCAAAAAGATGATTTAGGACAAGGTAAAAACTATGATGAACCTGTAAAATGGGAGCTTGTTGAAAAAAAACTGTGCTTTAAACAACTCAAAGAAATGTACCATTGTCACCACATACCGTAGTCACATACAATAGAATTACTGGGTGTTAGCATGCAGGGGACAAAACAGCTACATTAAAATTGTAATTTCATTTTCACCATGAAAAATTTTCCTCCATACAGGATTTTTCTTTTGCGAACTAGTCCCAGGTTTTTCACCCAAAAGGAACCAAACAAGTGCACAAAGATTCTCTGGACACTAAATATTACTAATTATTCCCAAAAGGCTGAACTTTAAATTCATCACTGCAACAGTGGCAAAATTTCAAAGTGGGTGTGGCCACTTTCACTTAAATGGCTGTAACTCTTGAATGGAATGAGATATTTTCACCAAACTTGGCACATTTGTGTATGGGTTCAGTCTGAGGTCATGTGGAAAGAATTGCAGCACTTAGCCACTTGGTGGCGCTATAACAGGGAAAAAACCGCAAACATATATACGTATAAGGGCAAAAGAACCTGGCTAAGTTATTACAAATATACTGGGACATTTCTAATTGGGATCAAATAAAATGAATCCTAAATTAAACGGGTCTTTACAAAAGTTTCAATAATAAAAAACAGTACTCCCAAGAAATAGCATTCCAATGCTGTCACACTGTAGCAGTCCTGTGTAATCCTTTAAGCCGTCTTGTTTTTGGAGCATATGTTGTTCAGTGAGTGCAGGTGATACTCCATTTTACATCACAAGGATTATCTCAGTCCACAGGCATTGTCCACCAGTTATACTATTG